AGTGGAAACACTTTGCACTCAGGACATTCCTTGGGCTAGAAAGACTCCTGGTAACAATTTATAGTTAGCAACTTGAATAAAAATAGATGAAATGAAAACCACCTATAAGCATTTTGTGCCAGAAGGGGAAGGGACCTGGAGACAAAAGTTGATTTTATCACTTGTTTACTGCTGAGAATGTTAAAAGGAAGGAAAAAAAAAAAAACCACCTTGGAACTAAGTAGATACCTAAACATGATACCTGAGCCCTATACACTATGGGAGGATGGACTCTGTCTAAGGCTGAGTCATTTATGAAAAACACATGCATGGAAATTAACATTCTTGATCAGAGCATTTTGAAACTGGTAAGAAGGAGAGGGAGGAAAACCCCCAAACAGCAGGAAGGACTGTAGAATAGTGAATATAGGCAATGACTTTCAAAGATAGGCAACATAGTGGGCAAAGCCAGCCTGAGAGAACACAAAGTCTGTAGAACCTACATAGTGAACCATTACTGACTTGAGCCATAAGAGAGTAAAAAGCAGTAAAAGATGAGCCAGTGCGAGTGGGTGTGGTAGCACGTTAGCCCAGCCCTCGGGAGACAGAGGCAGAAGCAAGGGGACCTCTGTGTCAGAATTAGAGACCTTTCAAAAAGCCACCCGTACATACCAGTCAGATGAATATAATTTCATATAGTTCAAACAATGATGGTAACCCTTCCACAGCTTACAGTTAAGTGTGCTGCTTTCATATGTAAATCAGAATGACCTGGTAACTTAGTAAGAATGCTAATACACACACCCATATCCATACAGGGTCTGTGTTGCCCTGGCTGTCCTAGAACTCCTATTTTCTACATTCTTGGACCCTTAAAAATTATATAGTAAGTGCTCAGATAGTCATGATGCAGTTTGAGGCCTCCTTGTCTTAAAGGAGATATGACAGTTGTTTCTGAGAGCTGATTAAATAGAGTAGGCCAAGAAAGGAGTGGATTGAAGTTAACTAGTTATAAAGGAGCAGGAACTTTGTGTAGGGAGTAAAGTGGATGTTCAGTTTTATTAAAGATCCAGTAATGCACTCCGGGGGGGGGGGGGGGGGAAGGAATGGACTTTGGACACAAATTCAAGAGTTTTCAGTATAAAATTCAGTTTTAAATGCCCTAAAGTTACAGGGTGTAAGGGAAATGGCACTAAGAGCCCTGGAAAAAAAAACCACCAAGGGTCAGGCTGAATTGAGGAGATTAGAAATACCCCAAAAGACTGTAACTGAGGTAACAGAACGAACTCTGCAAAAGGGAGGGGACACACTGACATAGCTGTGAAGGCAACAGTAAAAGTGATCAGGTGGCTTCTGGCTTTTCAGTTCCATTTCCCAGTGAGGACTGAACCCTAGAACCACTGTTTCTTTAATATAAATTCCTTTTTGTGTAGTTCTTACAATAAAAAAAAAATAATAATAAATCCCAGCTTAAGGCTGGAGACATGCCTCAGTGATTAAGAGTACGAAGTGCTCTTCCAGAAGACCTGGTTTTGATTCCCAGCATTCAAATGACAGCTGTATCTCCAGTTCCAAGGGGTACAACGTTCTCTTCTGGCCCTTGTAGGCATTGCACATAAGATACATAAACATATACAGGCAAAAACACTCATACACATAAAATAAAAAATGAAAAATAACCCCACACTCTTTAACACAAACTTGTGAGACCACCCATTGACACAGCCCTTGGTTAGGAAATGCCTGCTGAATCGCCAGAGCTGTTGCTGAGGACAGTGTGGAAATACTATTAAAGGAAAACCTGTCAAGTAGGCTTTATGAACTCACAGCATTCTCTGTTAAGAATTTCCTCCCCACTGGTCAGGCAAGACAACACCAGGTCTCCAACAACCTGCTGTCCCTTGCCTTGTGTCTGTATGCTAGGAAAGGTCATCTCTGAGAGAAGAGTGTGTGTACATGAGAGCACCAGTTTATTTTTTTGTTGTTGGTGGTGATTTTCGAAGAACTATAAATGGATGAAACTGCTAAAGACTGGATATCAAAAGCCTGAAATGCTAGTATTTTTTAATGATGGGATGGGTGGCTTGGTCATTCTGTATACGTCTGACAGTCCCGGTCAGCATTCTACAATTTGTTGCCACTTAAAGAGAATCCAGGGCGTTCCTATCTTGAAACCCCTTCCACTCTGGAGTTATTGCCTATTTTTCCACAGTAAATCTATTATTTGCTGCCCTAAAATGAAGAAAAGGAAGAAAAACACGTAATTTAGAGACAGGAGAAGTTCACAATGAGTGATGCTGGGCTCCTCCTTTTGTTCTTTATCATTCAGTAGAGACTAGCAGTCCATGAATACTCATGATGAGTAGTAGAAGTGTGATTACACACCTGCCTGGCAGTTCAGCTTTAGAGCACAGGATTTCTTTTGTGATGGTCAGGAGAATAGCAAGTCATATCAGAAACAGGTCTCTCTAGATTCTCTATCATCAGTAAATTATTAGTAAGACTGGCTGAGAGCAGAGAACACGCAAATAACAGTACAGCAACAATCTAATGAGAGCAGGAATATCAGCCCAAAGGAATCAGAGAGTCTGCCGTACAGCCTCATCAAGACATTACCAACAAAACAGCCTTGGAGAACTGAACAGTTAAGAGAGGGCATCGGTAGAAGCAGAATTCAGGTTGGAATGCTGGGTTTCAGTTTCAGCCCTGTTACTACTTTTGCAACCTTTATCAGTTATTAAACCTCTCTGATTCAATTTCTTCTCTCATTTATGAAATGAAAATGATTACATGTAGTATGGTATACAATAATAGTTACTGAATCTTTTGCAACCATTAAAAGTTTATCATAGTTGGATCTGTATACCACATGATTTCACTGACCCTTGAGATCCTGTCAGGTCCTGGTAGGTTTAGACAGCTAGGATGAAGCAAGTAAAAATTGCCCTGTCCAGCAGATAACTAGTAATTCCCAAAACCGACAAGGGAGAAGTTTCAGAGTAGCTCACTAATATCTTGACATCTGTTTTTAGGTAGAGCATCATGTAACTTAGCTGTTTGGGTTCCTAAAAATAATGATACTCTTAGACAGATTGTATCATTAATTTGTATTATTCAGAAGAGTCTCAAAAGATAAGTTTTATAAAGAGATAATATCATACATAGAACAATTGATGAGAATAGGACTTAGAGACAAGACTCATGGAGAAGATACTCTTCAAATACTTGAAGAAATGTCATTTGGAAATGCCTCAAATAGAAGTAGGGCAACGTAGGGCTTTAAAATAAGACAGAAATCAATAAAAACATATGGAGAGAGAATTTAGTCACATGTAAAGAAAAATGCATCCTGGGATCCAGCATTAGTTCCCCTGAAGATGAATGGCTTCAGAAAACATCCAAGTTCCTGCTTCTTACGAAGGAACTATTCATAAACTTGCCAACATTGTATAGGTCTAGATGCTCCATAAAAACCTTCAAACTCAAGATTTATAAAAAAAAGCAACATCGGAGATAGCATTGCTAATGCATGTTTTATTTGGGGTTCATGAAAGAAATCCCACTTACCCATATCAGAGTCACCTCCACCAGAGGAGTTCAACTTACGAAAAATTTCCTGCTTCTTTGATTTAACCATGGGTGATGTGCTTTCAAGCTTGGTGAAGAATGAAGGCAAGTAGCTTATACTTCCTGGTGATCGAGAATCATTCCTGTCAGGAAAAGAATTCAGTCTGTCACAGTCCCACGCAACAGGCACAGGATACTCAGAAAACTACTGCCTCTCACTATGTGTTGGTTACAACCTTGAGAAATGATGTGACCATGAACTCATTAGGAAGTAGTCAAATGCTTTTTAGCTGTGAAAAATCAAACAGCAAAATTAGTGTTAAAATGAAATTGATCTACATGGCCTTGTCGGTCCTGGAATTCACTGTGTAGACCAGGATAGTCTTGAACTCAGAGGTCTGCCTGCCTCTGCCTCCCCAGTGCTGGGATCAAAGGTGTGTGCCACCATGTCTGGCTAATCTATAGAAAAATTTCAAAGGATAAAATGGCAGAGTAATAATTGGAAAACTTAAAAACAGCTTATCAAGTTGCTTCTGGGTTTTGTTTTTGTTTTTGCTTAACAGTGCAAACAATAGTTATATAAGCTAGGAACTAACTTTGTAGGAACATTCTCATTAAGTAACCAGTTGTAACTAATACCATACCTATCTGTAGACTACCAAAAGCTCACGCCTAACCAGTCATTAGTTCGCAAAATAGCTGCATCATCTATATAGAATGCCCTAACTATTATAATCATTTTGAGACAAATAGCAGAGGAACCAAGTTTTAATACGAAGGATCTCCTATCTCACTGGTACCTTCCCCTAACAGAGATGGTAACAGAACATACCTCTTGTCAACCCCATCCAGTCGTACATTTATCATTAAAACATAAGAACAAAGGCAAAAAGAGGAAGACGTGGTCCCTGTATGTAAAACTTCAATTTGGGAAAACATGGATGTAGGATTTTCTTCCTCATTTCATTGAAGGTAATAACATGTATCATGTTGCCTACAAATATGTGCAATAAATTCTCAGAAATTCACCAGTAGCCTAGAGTTAGACCTGTTTTAAAACTAGACTTTCTTCTCCCTACCAGTCTTGGCCACCATTAAATCATGTATTTTCCTCTCAGGTGTTAATTCCAAGAAAAGAGCATGACTTTGAAGAAAAAGAACTCAAGACAACAGAGAATATAACATAATGGTGAAACAGCAGGAAATGAAGCTTTGTAAGCCTGGTCTTGAAGGAATGCAAATGTCATGCTAGTGACTAAGTGTCTCAGTGTGTCTCAATCTACCTACTCTGGTAAGGTACAGAGAAGTCAGTTATTCAGGTCAAAGTTAGGGTCAGAGGTCAAAACAAAATATACAAGGCAGTGTAGTCTGTGTGCAGTCCAGATACTTTGATAAAGTATTCTGAAATATTGGCTGAACCACTGCCACCTGCTGCCCAAAGTAAGAATTTGAAAAAGGCCTAGAAAGATTAACTTGAGAGTAATGATGAAGTTTCTCTAACTTATTAAATGTGATGTTTTGGGTAGTACTAGCTCATAATACTCTTAAATGTTCCTCCCAGAGTCTTATCCTTTTATAAAAACCAAAGAGACAGTGACTTAAGGCAAGCCTTAGGTACAGTCTGTCTCTAACAGGAGCCAGCGCACAGATGTGTGTGTCCTCACCTTTGCTCTGCAGGCTCCACTCCCCTTTGTGACAGGAGCAGCATGCTGTCCTGCTTCTCATGCACAGCAGGACCTTGGGGTGGGGAGATGGGCTCATAGGGCTCTGATGGGATGTGACTCCTCTCTGGAGACTTCCCAGGCCTGCTAGGTAGAAAACACAATACTTTGAGGTTGTACTTTGGGGCCACCTCTGATTCCACATCTACGTTTATTATTACAGCTATGTGAAAATTTATAAATTTGGCGTTTCTTTCCCCAGTCAATCCTACCCTGTTCTTAAAATGACAGTTTTTTACTTCTTTGAGGTTTATCTATGAACCTTTATGATTTCATACATCAACATACACAAGAAAAGCTGATTTAACTTCAAGTTTTGTCCTTTTTGGTTTAATCTTTAGTTTACATATTTTACATTTACATACTATATTTTAACCATTTATATGTGTTCTTTAAATATAAAAATAAGCACACATATCTTCCTACCTCTTTGCCCAGTTATCAGCCTTTCCATAGGGCTCATGAAGCACGTTCTGTGCTAACACCGCAGGACTGCCCTGGGTGTGCACCAGGGCTAAACCACTTCTCTAGCCTCACCTGCATTTCCAGAACTGACAGCAAAATGGATTATGTAAACATTTTAAATGATAAAATCAGGTGATTTTACTAAGAGTAATGAAATAAATTAACCCTTCTGAGATTTACAGATTTGGTTATAAGTGGAGAAGCCAATTGGAAGCCCTCTTGTTCCAGATCTGTTACAGAGCAGTTTTCTGCCTCATTTATTATATATTTATTTGTTTATGTATTCATGGTGTTTGTGTTTTGTTGTTTTTCAGGCTAATCTAAAAGAAACTCCTGGTTTCTAGTGTCTTCCCCTTCAGGCTTTGGAGGATTACAGCCAGCCTTCTGTTTTTTTATAACTGCACTCTTCTTTTTCCAAAAAAGAAAAATATAAGCTTGGTTTAGTGGTACACACCTTTACCTCAAGAACTGAGGAGGCAGAGGCAGGCAAGTTTCTAGATTCTAATTAGAGGCTAGCCTGGTCTACATAGCCAGTTCCAGAACAGCAAAAGCTATATAAAAAGACCCTGTCTCAAAAGACAACCTCCCCATACACACACGCAAAAAGGAGAATAAGCATACTTTTATCTTTAAGATCATTAGGCCTTTTAAAATGATTATGTCTAGCATCTGTTTCAAAATAGCCCAGTATGGCTTGTGGGTAGAGGTCAGGGATGGGGTGGGAAAGTGAGAATGAAGCTGAAAACAGCTGGCCGTTTGCTGCATTAGGATACACAGAAGTATACTGTGAGGTTTTCTAACTTTGTTTGAGGCAGGATCTCCACATTGCCCTTGCTGTCCCTAGAACTCACTATGTAGACCAGGCTGGCCTAAAGCGTACAGACACATTCCTGCCTGTCTCTAATGACCGGGATTCACTACACCTGGTAGTTCTCTACTTTTAAGACTAGCCAGCTTCCAACTGACACAGGGCCAGTCATCTACTTGCCTCTGTCCTCAGTGCCATCAGCTCTACCTGGATCATTTTGAGGGATAGCCATGTCTTGCAAATTTCTCTGTACCCGAGCGTTGGTCTCCACTTATTCTCCACCCTCCATGAATATTCAAAGTATCTGCTAGAAATTTTCTTTTATCCATAGTCATTTTTGTTCTAGGATTCTTATGAATTAATTTCCTATTTAAATATAAGTTAACATCAATTGATGTTTAGTGTACTACTTTGAACTAAAACCCCTGCTTCCTTTTTGAAAAACTTTAGACAGAACATTGTTAACAAGCAGCACTAGTTGATCAAGACTGAAGCCTTGTCTATGTGCGGCAAGTGTGCCGAAACTGCACTGTGTTCACAGCCTCGTTGTTCTGTTATTGCAACTGATTTTTTTTTGATACAGTGTCTCATTATATAGCCTAGACTAGCCCCAGGCAAGGCTTCATATTTTCTTGCCTCTGCCCTCTGAGTAGCCAGAAATAGAGGCATGTACTGACTACCCAAGCCTGAGAAAGAATTTTTGAAAGGATACTCAAACCTCTGCAAATTACCCAACTACTTTTGTGTATGCACCGATTGTACCCAGTGCTAAGTGCCCAGACAGTTGACATCCTGAAAAATAACACACATACCCCTATTACCACTTTCCAGAGAATAAGGACAGATGATATTTCCTATGAGAAATGAAATCTCCTAACTTGTAAACATATTCAGATTATCTTATTGATACAAATTTTATGTAATTTTTGGTAAAAACAAAACCATACCTTCCCCGGGATTTATCCACAAGATTCTCTGGAGAGACTCTAGAACCTGGTCTTGGATGTAGAACGCTCTGAGACTGGGATTCTGGGCTGTAACGACTTGATGTTTTAGTTCTTACAGGTGTGGATGCCAAAGCAGATGGTGAAGTTTGGAATGTAGAAGTAGGAGGCTGCGAGGAAACTTGATTTCTAGCAAAATCTTGTGTGATAATTTGCTGTGAATGAGAAGAGGAAAAAGTGCTGCAGCTGTTCAGTACCCCCCAAGAGAGTGCTAAAAAAACTCGGCTTCTAGCTTAACATTCTTTAAAAAAAAAGATAATCTCATTCTGAGTAAAAAAACTACTCAGACTCCTGAGTGGTGGGGTATGTGCCCCATGCTAGCTTAACCTGAACAAGTATCTTTGCTATGAATTTCTTAGGTTTTTTTTTTTTTTTTAATGCTTTTTGCATGCTTAAAAAAATAATAGTGGAAGTAGAAAAAGGCTTACACAGATGTGGTCAGCAAGGGTGATCAGTCGATGGGTCCTAGGCACCTGCCCCATTCCCTCTGCCTGCGAAGATGGGGGCAGTGGTGGCTGCTGCTGTGGAGATGGTGAGTCCTGCTGGGACCGATAGTGATGCAGTGGTCCTTCATACTGTCGAGTGGGCTCATCTGATAAACAGCAGGGAGATACATTATCCCAGGAATGCCTCCTCCACAGACTCAGTATCCAGTATTAAGTGTAACTCAGAAAAAATGTAAGAAAAGGATATAATATGCACCTCTACACATAACTTACGTATTTATATCCTGAAGCAAAAAAATACCCATTGGTTTATTCTACTAGTTTTCATGCTTTAGAGTGGAGAAGTGAGCAACATTTTCCTGTTTGTGTGTGTATGTGCGCATGCTTGTTAGTGTGTGTGTACGTGCAGGCTGGAAACTGATGCCAAGTGTCTTTCCTCTGCTGTTGTCTACTGCTGGTGAACCTGATCCAGTCTTGCTGGATTCAGCAAGACTGCCTGGCTAGTAAACTGTAGGGATCTACTGTTAATGCTCCCTGCACCTCTTCCTCCTGTGCTGGGGTTACAGGGTTACTATGCCTGGTTTTTCATGAGGGTTCTGGATACCCAAACTCAGGTCCTTATGCTTGTGCAACACTTAAATTTACCTAGATACACACCCCAAGCCCCACAGGATCTGTCTTCAATAAACTATAAACAAAACAGTAATCAATAATAGTTTAAAAGGTACATTTTGTTAGTACAGCTCTAAATGTTTCTAAAGTAGATCACCCTACAACAAGTTATTCTTACCATGGCCTAGACAGGTAATTAGAAGCAAATGTTAATGCAAACATGAAACACGTAAGTGGCAAAAACAGACATACTTTCTGCTTGATTTGCCTTAACCATCTCTGGCTGATAGGCCTGTGGTTTTTCCTGGGGTGGTACAGGTGAGCTGGCAGGACTTATCACCTCAATAGCATCACTAGGTGCTTCATACCTGTGAGAAGACACTTTAAGAAAAGAATCTTATTTTAAAATAAATCCATGGAATGTTTCAAAAGTTCAAGCTCTTCAAAGCTATTTGCATGTTTTAGGTTTTTGATTCTGCTAAAGAAATGTCCAGTAGCATTCCATATGAGGAATAAAACCTAATCAAACTCAACAGACTGTTAAAGATGACTGTGCTCCTAATCTCAATAGGCTGTATGATTTTTTAAGCATGAGATGAAGCAGAATTAAGAACAGACTTGGGATAAGCCCCTGAGAGCTTGAAAAGAAACCGAGGGGTAACACTCATCAAAGGAGATTAATAATTGGAGGACAAATCTCAACAATTAATTGATTCCAGTAATTCCATTTCTGTGAATGATCTGATCTAACCAGAACAGGCCATACAGCTGCTTCATTATCCATAACACCATTACTACTTATAAAATTGAAATAATGATTTTCTCAAATAACTTAAGTATGACATTGAGAAATTGAATAGGAGCAGTAGGAATTATGTGAAGGAAGTTACATCAAAAAGAGGGTATTAACCAAATTTAGAGGATGCCCACATAGACCCTTCTAAGATACAGCTCTCTAGAAAACTGATGGACTCTGTAGATGCAGGTCACAGGTAGCTTTCTACAAACCTACCATGCTTCAGAGCTGAGATTTGGGAAGAGTCAAGTAGAACTTGTTAAACAAACTTCTGTGAGAGGCCATCTACAGGCTGTACCAGAGCCTGCATCAAGGCTGTGGTCTTAGCTCAACACAGACAGGCATAGAAGGCAAACTACTTGACCACTGCATACTGTTCTTACTATTCAAATGAGATCTCTACATACCTCCCACCTGTCATGAAAATCAATGCTAAAATAACTACCATGACTAAAATAAACCACTATATTGTAAATGACTGGAAAGGATTGTGTTCAGTATTGCTCATCAGTGCTTATGAACCAGCAACACAGGATGACAAGAACTGACAATATTCTGTCAGCAAACAATTTAATTGCAAATTATATTCATACCACTCTTGAAGATTAGAGGGTACAGGTGAAGGATGAGGCAAGCTCACAAGAGTTACACTGAAAATGACACTGAGTAGTTGTCACTAGCCTGTGCAACATGCAGGATGTTGACTAGTGATCGAAAAGATGACTACACTCAAAGGTAAGAAGCAGGGGTCTAAGAACTTGGGCTTTCTGTTTTCAGACTGCTGAAAACACTATGAAAGCAGAGGCTGGTACGTGACGGTGACTCCCCTCCAACGTGCCCTGCACTGCTCTCCTTCCCCGAGCTAGTAGTTTTCTGCATGATGAAAGTCTACGTTGTAAACTTTCTTACTTCCAGGTCTAGGGAAGTGTTTCTTCTACACTTACCAAGCTCCCCACTTTTCTCTAAAAATTTTGTTAACAACTTGTAACTACATAAGTGGATTCTTGGAGATTAGAATTGCATGCTACTCCAGTGCTCTACCTAATTTCCTTAATGGAGATACCAAAAAAATGACTGAGTAAACTGCTTCCAGTATTTCTTAACGGCTTGCTTGAGCATACTTTTCTCTAAAACTTCATATAGAATAGAATGTAGGTTGTATGTAAGAAAAATGTTTAATTACACTTATTCATATATTTACTTCTGTGTCTTGAGGGCCTGCATCACTGCATACACGTGAAGGTCAATTGGTGCCAGGGTCAGTTCTCTCCTTTCACTATGGGGATTCAGATCATAAGAATTGTTGGTAAGTGCCTATTCCTGCTGAATTATCTCATCACCCCTAAGGAATGTTAAAAAGCATTTTTGTATTTGTGTTAAAAAGTATTTTGATTCTTACTTGCAAGAAAAACACACTAACCAAAGTGGATGGAACACCAATTCTCAAGAATGATATCAAGTGAATACCAGTCACTACTTATAAGCTCACTTTCAAGAAACTACCTTAGAAAAAGGACAGAAGGAGGGCACAGTGGCGCATGCCTGTAATCCCAGCACTCAGGGAGGCAGAGGCAGGTGGAGCTCTTATGAGTTCAGGGCCAGCCTGGTCTACAAATCAAGTCCAGGACAGCCAAGACTACACAGAGAAAACCCTGTCTGGGGGGGGGGGGGGGGATATTTGACAGGAGAGGCCTTGGGAGATCAGTGAACCTACTAAACAATTCCTGAGAGAAAAAAATGGAAGCACAGACCTTGAAGACATTCCTGTTACTTTTTAGGCCTAAATACCTTCAGAAGCTCTATTTCCCAGCTAGCCAATTCTAACTATAATTCTGTGTTTTTTTCCTAGGTAAGATATTGATGAGCTTATACTTAGGACATGGGGGATGTGTAAGTCATAAGAATATTAGAAGATACATTTTGCACCCACAATACTTCTCTCATAGTTCTGTCAAGCATTAGTTCGTTCCATACCAGGCCGGCTTAACGTAAAGGATAAAGCAAGTCTTTACTCAGATACCACACTGTGAAACTCAGATGGAGATACATACAGCTACTAGAAGAGTCTGAGCTTTGAGAGCCACGTTCCCTCGCATCCTTGTCCGAGGCAATTTGCCGGGTGATGATCACGTCTATGAAGTTAGCTGCAGTAATGGTAGTCTTCCCTCGGGTCCTTAGCTCTTCCTCATATCTGGATTTTGGAGGAGGCCCTTTATCTTTCCCAGCCTCAGAATACACTACTGAGGCATGAGGCTGGGGCTTGCCACTTGGAAGGGCTGAAGAAGTGCACACACACTGAACAGATCTCTTCTCCACCTCCAGGTTTTTCTGCTCTAGCTGCTGCTGTTCACTAACTGTTGCTGACCTGCTTCTCAAATTTTCTTCTAACCTGGCAGCTTCATGCTTACTCTCTTTTGTTTTGGAAACATCCATCTGGGGTGCAGAAGCTGCAGCGTCCACGAGAGCAGCCAGGGCATCCGCAGCAGTGTTGTAACGGGAAGCTGGCAGGCCTTGGCTTATTGAAGGCCCTCCAGCAGGCAGTGGCCTGTGAACAAAATAAAATAAAGGTACTTAAGGAGAGAATATCGGGGGGAACATTGTTGAGAAAATGAAAGAACAAATTACATTTTTTAAAAGTTCAGCAATAGAAAATCTTGACTATTATAGTCGGTGGTTTAAAAATCAAGATAGCTAAGCAGGTAAAGGCTGAGCTGCCTTGCTGCCATGGCTCACAATCTGAATTCAAGTCTCAGGACCCACATAGTAGAGAACAGACTCCCACAGACTTACACACTTACATCCATGCATACATACACACACAGAGTCATCAGTAAATGTTAGATTAAAACATGCAAGATATAGACTTATTTTGGTCAAAATGTTTATGAGTACAAAAGACTGACATGATTCGTAGCTGAGCAGTTGGATCCAAAGGTGTGATTACACTTGTTCCATTGGTTCCCTGGAAAACACTGGGTCTCTGTTGCAACATGGTCTCCTGAGTTCTTATTGAAGGGGAAGGTGAGCGAACATATCCGTGGCTACCAGGGCGGCCTGACTGTTCTGAGCCTGAAGAGGTAAAAGAAAAAGTCAGACTGATAACCCAAATGAAGCAGCTACAGAAATAAAGGCAGTAAGTTATAAAAATTTTAATCCAGTTTTACCAAATAGAAAAATGAGAACAAGAAACTTGATACTATACTTCCTAGAAATGGGCTCTAACTTTCTCAATAAAGAAGCAATAAAACCCAACAAAACTGAAACAGAATCTCAGCTGTCATTTACGGTCATTTCCAATTTTGTTGGGAGTTTCAATCTCAAATCCAGAAAGGAAAGAGAAGGACCAACAAGAAAGTGCTACATATCTCAGACACTCATCTTGCAGACTGTGCTGAAATTTTTAGGTTAGTATGATCACCCAAATCAAAGTTGGCAGAACATCCCATGTGTCACAATGAAAATAAAATTACAGCTTGGCTTCTGCACTCAGTCATGGTTAACCCTGTTTTGCCTCTTTGTGGTTGTGTACATAAGCATACACATGTGCATATGACCTGAGGTCAATCCCTGTCATTCCTCAGGTACTTTCCACCTTGTTTCTGAGATAGACTCTTAGTGGCTTGAAATCTGGAAACTGGGTGGGCAGGCTGACCAGTGAGCACCAAGGAGCCAACTGTCTAAGCCTCTCCTGCTCTGCTATTACAAGCACATGGCACCAAACCAGGTGTTTTTTTGTTGTTGTTGTTGTTTTTTTGTTTTTTGTTTTTTTTACATGGTTTGGGACTCAAACTCAGGTCACTACACTGTATGGCAACTAGTTTACCAACTGAGTTCATCTAAACCCTCTGCCCCTGCTCTATTTCATGATTACATGTTGTCTCTTGTGAGATGGAATATTATACTCACTAAACCCTCTCCAAAAGTTTGTCTTCCACAGCTTCAAAGTTTTACTCACTTAGCTTTAACTGTCTCATAGCAGAGCTTGGAGAATCTTAAACTCTAATTTGCTGATCAATTTCTTCTCTGTTTCTACCTCATTCTTTGCATGTATAAGAGACATTTTAGCACAGACTTATTCCCACAGCCAGTACAACCTCAGCCAGACTCTCTGACAATTTCCTTTCTTCTGAATACACTTTGGGGAATTAACAGTATGCCTATAAGACCAATTGCTAGTAGTAGTGGAACTGCTAATCGATCAGTATCTAGATGTTTCTATGCATAGGAGTGACCCCATTTACATGACATTCATCATATATCAGTGTGTGTGCAGCTGCAACATGGAGAAGATCAATTCAGTGTAAGAAAATAGTATTTTGATGTTTTTACCTGTTACTTTGCAAGTCAGTGGGATTAACAAATTTTTAAACCCTAGCTCCCACCAAAATTATGTATTATTTGAATTTGACTTTAATTTTTCATGTTTTTATATAATCCACATGGACTCAGTATTATGGTATTACCACAAAATGTATTCATTACAGGCATTTTTTAAGGGTCAGATTAGTAGTGATTTCTCTTATTCTCTGCTTCCTTTTGCCTACACCTACACTGCCCTTTGGATGGCATCTAGAAACCAACTGACTCCTCTCTTCACATCTTTTAACTGTTGTACATCAGTCTGTGTTCTTAAGTGTCAGATCAGTGTTTCTTACAATATGGCCCTTAGTAAATGGTCTGATTATTTTTTTAAAAAATAATTGATACAGATAAAAAAAGAGATGGCCCAAATATCTGTCAGATAAACTATGTCTAGAATAAAAATTATCCTTGTTTTCCCAGATTGCGATCTTGCCATTTTTCATGTTGTGTCACTCTGAATGTCACCCCGCCACGACACACACACTTCTCTTTTTTTTAATATGAGACAGGATCTTGTTATGAATGTCAGGCTGATGTCAAATTACAATCCTCCTGTTTCAGCTTCCTGAATGATGGATGTAGTAGTTTGAATTAAATTGTCCCCCATAGACTGATAGGGTCTGCCACTATTAGAAGAGGTGTTCTTGTTGGAACAGGTGTGGCCTTGTTGGAGGAAGTGTGCCTCTGGGCATGGGTATAAGGTTTCAGAAACTCAAAACCAGGCCCAGTGTTACTCTCTGTGCCTGCTGCCTGCCAATCCAGGTGCAAATGCAGAACTCTCAGATCCTTCTCCAGCATGTCTGCCTGAACACCTCCATACCTTCCGCCAGCCAAAATTAAATGTTTTCCTTTTTAAGAGTTGCCTTGGTCATGGTGTCTCATTGCAGCAGTAAAGCACTAAGTAAGATACTGGGTTACAGGCATGTGCAGGTCCAGTTCAGTTAATCATATATATATATTCATATGATCTTTTTTTTTTTTTTTTCCTCTTGTCAGCTCCCTCTGATTCTGCTTCTGTGTTCTCAGCACTTTCTGGCCATCCTCTGTGTCTGACTGTTTCACACCACCATTGGCACATACAAGAGTTCCTGAGACAGTTTCACTGAACAGCCCATGCCCAACTTTTGAGTGTTAGCACATCCCATGCCACTCTTTTAAGAAATACTCTTCTGAGCTGGGCGCAGTGGCACATGCCTTTAATCCCAGTGCTTGGGAGGCCGAGGCAGACATAATGCTGTGAGTTCAAGGTCAGCCTAGTTTACAAAGACAGTCCAGGACGGCAAAGGCTACATAGAAAAACCCTGCCTCAGGAAGAAAAGGGAAGGGAGGGGAGGGGAGGAAGGAAGGAAGAAAGAAAGAAAAGATGCTTTTTTGAGCCAGGCAGTGATATGGTGGCTCAAACCTTTAATTCCAGTGCTTGGGAGGCAGAGGCAGGTGGATCTTTGAGTTTGAGGCCAGCCTGGTCTGTAGAATGAGTTCCAGAATAGCCAAGGCTACACAGAGAAACCCTGTCTTAAAAAAAGGAAATGCCCTTCTGGTCACATGACTGACATGGGCGGAATGGCAGTGCTTCACTATAAGCAGGGTATGGAAATTGCCCAGTTGTACTTTCCACTCCCTCTTTGAGCTGGAGCTGTTCTTTCAACTTGAAGAGCTGTAATTTTTCAGGAGCAACTAAAGACCTATGCTACTTGAACCCAATCAGAATGACAACATGGAAAGTCCTTATAATTTCTATAGCACTTTTGCTTGTATTTCAAATATATTGACTTTCGATCTTACAATACCCCCCCCCCCCCTTTTGGTGTTTTTTTTTTTTTTTTTTTTTTTTGAGACAGAGTTTCTCTGTGTAACATATGCTCTGGCTGTCCTCGGCTGTCTTTATAGACCAGGCTGGACTTGAACTCACAAAGATCCAACTGCCTCTGCCTCCCAAGCACTGGGATTAAAAGTGTGTGCCACCATGCCCGGAAGCCCATCTTACAATTCTTATTCACCTACATACAATAATTAAGCATGATGCCCAACAGGAAATTCCTAGGATCTGTCCTCTGAGAGAGGTGCAAAGCCTCTCACTGACCTGCTCGTAAGTAGAGGTCAGAGGAAGCACTGATTCTTTCGCGTTCGCGTTCACGTTCACGTTCTCGCTCTCGTTCCTTCTCCCTTTCTCGTTCTCGTTCCCTCTCAGCACTTGCAGCTGCTGCAAGATGTGTTGGGTGACCTGCAAAACATGAATCTGCAACGTCAGACAAAACTGTCAGCCTGTGTTACATCTGGAAATGCCCGGAAGTTTCCAAAGCTCCAAATGTGGGATCTATGACATTTATCTTGCTAGTCTTAGATAGCACATGGAGCATAAAATAAGCATTTAGGGTATTTGTTAAGCATCTAAGTATAGGTATATATTAATGAAAAGCAGAATGGGAGACAGATGCCCAGAAGGCCTCTGAAGGCTACACCAGAAAAACCAAAGCATGTTAGACTAGCAATTTTGTCTGAGAAATAGAGGGCATTATTTTATTATGTATGTTCTCCAGAGAAAAACCACTAACTTATTTTCTGGAACAGTTGTTCCCTTTTCACCCGGAACAAGCCAGATATGTTAGTTTGGCACATCTTACCTGGAGACAAAGAAGCAGCGTTGTATGGCCTGGGAGGAAAAGTAATCTGTGTACCAGGAATATAAGTGATTCTGTCCATTGGGGGAGTGCTCGTTCCCCCTGCATGAGGCACTAAAATTGTTGGAGGCATATTGGTCAGGTCAATGATTCCTATCCAAAAGACAAATACACTTTATGTTAGGCATTACTGTAAACTGACACCTAACTCCAGAAGTATACATGGATTTTCTATTTTGTCTTCTAATAACAAAATAACCTGCATTCAATATAAATAAAAGTTTTAAAAATTGTCACTATTTCTTAAGACCCTCTTTAAATCTAAACAAAATATGAAAGCAGTGAGTTCTACACAAGTAATCTCAGGTATAGACATATTAAAGAAAACAGGCCAGGCAGCAGTAGCACACTCCTTTCTTTAATTCCAGCACTCAGGAGGCAGAGGCAGGTGGATCGCTGACTTTGAGGCCAGCCTGGTCTACAGAGTGAGTTCCAGGACAGCCAGCGCTACACAGAGAAACAAACAAATACACTTTATATGACTTAGTTACTTTGACATTCACTGTAACACCTCATCTCAATAAATTATTTGCTTTCAAGGGCCAAAGTCTACAGAGGAAAGTATAAGCTATTTTTTTAATGTCTTTCCATCATTTATTTACCAAGTATTCACTAATTACTGATAAATGTGAAAAAATTCTACATACCTCTTGTAGCTGGATAAGGGAGACCCAGTGGCTGCTCTCGTGGGGAGAGTCCCCTGGCGACATCAGGGCGCAAATTCACTTGCATCTGCTGTGAGGTAATGTAATCATTTAGGATTGTCTGTCTTGTATTCTCCATTGCATAAAGCTGGTACTGACTTGGGTATCCTGGGGTTGGTGAAAGCTGTCTCTGAAACAGGTAAGCAGCAGCTGCTGAGTGAAAGAAAGAAAAAACGGCACTGAGTGTGTGAGATTACTTTGCTAAATGTAATCCTCGGACAGAGTGAGGAAACACTGCCTGCTGAGCTAGGACAAAAGCCACTTCCACTGAACTACAGGGATTAATTTTAGTCCTTGACACACTAGTGATATGAAGTCTAGCTCCTTCTCTACCCCTCCCTCCCACCACCTCAGGATTTCTCTATGTAGTCCTTGCTGGCCTGGAATTCCCTCTGTAGACCAGGAGAGCTTCAAACTTAGAGATCCACCTGCCTCTGCTTCCTGATTGCTGGGATTAAAGGCTCCATCAGCAATAAATACTTTTCCCAAGAAATGATTATTTGCCACCACGTTCTGTAAAGTGAATTTATTCTAATACTTGAGAGATGTAATGGAAAGGGGAAGCATATTCTGAACATTTCTGAAGTCGTTTTGCTTTCAGCCATTGCCACGAAACTTTATTATGTTTTCACCTGAATTATATGAGTTGTGGTTGAAAATTGAAGTCCTTTTTGATAACACAACAGTGGGAATATATATGAAAACAATTTCTCTAAGGTAATAATGATTGTATATAACCATTCAGTAATGCATGTGTTTGAAAAAACAAATTACAATTCTATTATTATACCATGGAAGAAGCTATGGACAAAACAAACATGGCTAGGGCCATGTTCTAAAAAGACTTTATTACAGCAATAGGATTTCATCAAGGAACTATTGTTTTATTAGCCCCTGCTGAAGAACATAACTCAGGATGTGATGAAGTATGGTAAAAGTAGAAAATAATGTCTCTATTCTCAAAGCCATTTATAAGCCAGGCGTGGCGGTACACATCTTTAATCCCAGCATTCAGGAGGCAGGGGCAGGTAGATATCTGATTTTAAGGCTAGCCTACTTTACAGATTGAGTTCCAGGACAGCCAGGGCTACTCAAAGAAACCCTGTCTTGAAAACATTTATATAAAATCTATCTATCTATCTATCTATCTATCTATCTATCTATCTATCTATCAAATCTAGCTCAGACAGAAAAAGGACAAGATGAAAATGCTACTAAATAAAGGTTTATGATAGACACTGAACAATTATGTTTTCTAGACTATTAATTTAACTTTCATCCAGAATTCCAAGTGTCAGTTAAGTTTGCCTGCTGAAACACATTTCAATCTGGAAGATGTTCTCTTGAAAAAAGTATTTCAGATTACAATGGGTTCTACCCCCAAAAGCCCAGAACAATGCAAGCTCCAGAAGCTGAAAGTACATTTGATATGTCTACACTACATCCTAGGCTTAGCAGCACTGCACATTGTAGTCATCAACTGTTTCCACTCATAGTTGAGGGGCTGTGGCTCCCTGCTGCACCCAGCATTATAGAATAGTATTAACACATATTGCCAGCCCCAGAAAGTCAAGTTTCTGCCAACTGCTTTTTGCTTTCACAACACTGCTAAGTCAAAAGCTCAAGTAGAATGAAGAAGCACAAGTTGGTCTGTGATCTCTGTATCAGGTTTAGGTTCAAATAACAATTTGACAACAGCAGAGCTTTCAAGTAAAACATTCCCCAAGGAATAGGTAACTTTTGGGCTTCTTTGCAGTAAAAATTCTTGTTTGCTTTGTATGTGCAGTGGTTTATGCTCAGCGGTGCACATACGCCGCAGTGTGGGCGTGGGGTCAGGGGACACCTGTTCATTCTCCCCTTTCACTGTGTGGATTCTGTAGGTTGGTGGCAAGCATGTTCCTTTTATTAAAACCCACCTTACTAGCCTGATATTTTGCCTTTTAATGAGACAACATGGTAGTAAAAGCCACTATAAGAACACAGGTATAGCCCTAGACAAGGCTACCTTGAACTAACAGAATTCCACCTGCCTCCTACTCATCACATGTCTTTAGCTTCATTAAAAAAACAAAAACAAAAGCAAAAAAATCCAGGGAATTTATCTTATAACAAAAAGATAATGGTGAGATTTAGTTAATGGTTTAAGAAAAGGCACTGACCTTCACTTTAACCCACTTTTTCAATCAGACTTCCCAACTGCAATCACGAAGAAAGTTTTTCAGACACTTACTGATTTTAGTTCTTTAAGCTTTGTTAATAGTTTTATTATTTTGGGGTGCTGGTAACATGGGGTGTTCTAGTCACAAAAACGCACTGAGTTGTACAATAGTCTATTCATTGTACCATAATAGCTTGAACAGTCACAAAGCTATAGTATTTCTTTGTTGTAAATTGTCATTAAATATTGAACTTACCAGGATCCAAAGCCCTGTGAAAGGGCATGGCTGGATCCAAGTGTGTGGGAAGGTGGCTTCGATAAACATCTCCTGCAGCGCTACTCCTATGATGGGGATCAAATGGGCTGTGACTCACGACAGGATCCACACCAGGCACTGGAGACTTGGCTGGTATACTTTCCCTTTGGGTTGGGGTCAGAGTCGATTTCCTTTCATGACTGGTAGACTTGCTGGAAGAAACTGTAACAGCGATGACAAAGTACCAGTGCCATAAATCCTTGAGAAAACCTCAACATATGCTCTAGCATTTAAAATCCAATCTTGTATTGTGTACAAGTATAAGAGTAAAGAGCCTCGAACCTGGAGACTACTGTGACCATTTAGAGCAGAGCACCAATTCTAAACCATAACATATTAAGATCACGAAAGATCATGCAGTTCACTAATCTCTAAATCTCACTGTAAATGACCACATTTCCTACATGGTACTAACAAAATCCTAAAACAAAACATGTCTATTTTGGCACCACATATGTAGCAAATCTCTAATGCTTCTCTCCTTATGTCTTCTAACCTCTTTGCTACCTGTAAACAATAAATTACCCTAATTTTTCCCCTCCAGTCTGCTCTTCAGTGGTTACCTCACACATCCACTGGTCCCTCTACTCATGACTCAGTGATTAGACTGAGTGATTAGACGCCTATCACATCCACAACTTTGCAGCGACCTTCTTGTGGAGATCTCCATGTACCATAAAGTGCACCACATCAGCCTTGTTACTTAATTTCTTGTAAAGCAGTATTTTCCTTTTTAAAAACAATTATGTCTAGCTGGCTGTGGTGGCACATGCCTGTAATCCCACCACTCCGGGAGGCAGAGGCAGGCCAATCTTTAGTTTGAGGCCAGCCTGGTGTACAAAGTAAGTCCAGGAGAGCAAGGCTGCACAGAAAACTCTGTCTCGAAAAATGAGACAAAAACAAACAAACAAAAACATTCTGTGTGTGGAGATTTTACCCTGAGTGTGTCTATGTACCACGTATGTGCAGTGCCATAAGAGTGTCAGATACCTAAGAGTTACACATGGCTGTTAGCCATCGTGTAGCTGCTGGGAATTGA